TGCTGGGTTTGAGGTGCAAATCTAGGGGAACCATTGGGTTAACTCCAACGACTACTTCCGCATACGATTTCTTCTCCGCCTGCAAATTTAGATTTGGAGGGGAAACGGTAGTGGCTGCCACTATCTTGGGACTATTCTTGTGCTCTCTTTTTATCCCGCCCTCACTGGACTGTTGGATTGAGAACAATAGTCACTCTCTTTCACCAGCCAATCAAGAGAGCGTCCCTTTCTGTAATCCTGAGCAAGTCCCAATTTTATGTAAGCAGGTAATGCTTCATAAAATAGAGTCTTGAATTCTGGCTGGTCAGGATTGGGATCCTTCTCAGCCAGGATATATGCATTTATGAGGACGGCCAGAAATTCTGCAGGGCTTTGGTGAGGACCACACTTTAAATTGTAGGCCGCAGCCTTGGCAGAGGTAACAGTTCTATAAGGCCCAAATTCCATGTGGCACCTATGTTTTACCTCTCTCCAGGACTGATTGGAAAAGGCCTTCAAGGTATCAAAGAATTGCCGGTATTTTTCTTCAAACACCCATGGCAATAATTCAATTTTGGTGTGGTCATCCCTAATGCCTAGAATTTCTAACGCTTGTTCATATGTTTTCATATGTTCAGTAATTTCCAGGGACCCTTTCTTGGTAAAAATAGGAATGGTGTCTTTCAAAAATTGAATGACCTTTGGGGTGTCATATCTTCTGAATGACCCCCGGGACTTCCCTTCCTGCCTATATGAAACCCTCATACTCTTCTTCTGCATGCTCTGGGGTATATCTTTGGAGCCTAGGGGGCGACCTATATTCCGTCTCTGTCTCACTATCAGGTACTTCACTGTGATATGGGTATTCCCGTTCATCAGCCTCCTGCTTAACTGGGTAGGTCCGGTTCTGGACTCTAGAATTTATTTGGGCAGTTAACCTGACAATCTGCTCCTCCAGTGCTTTTTGCTCAGACCTTACAAAAGCAACTTCTGATTGGTCATGCTTATCCCCTGGATGAACATTAATTTCAACAGGAGATATCCTTCCTGATCTAAAGAACTCTACTTCTTGTTTTAAATCCTGATATCTCTTTTTAAATTGTTTTAATTCCTGAAAACTTTCCTCATATAAGCCTTGAGCACATTGAATGTCTTTGACCAATCTAGCTTGATGCTCCTTGGATTCGTTGAGACGAACACATGTATGGTCAAGCTTCTCCCTCAAGGACTCAATTTCCTGATCTCTGTCTTTCAAAAGGTGGCGGCTTCTGACAGGTCCTCCCTTAAAGCTGGTGTTTGCTGGGCAGCTTCACTGCTCATAAACCATAACATGGGCCAGGCTTCTAGAAGTCTGTCACGGCTTTTATTATTTTCTGCTTCAGCAAATGCAAAAAAAACCTGACAAACCGACCTTCTTCGTTAAACAGGTCCTCAGAGGTGCTCATAGCTTGCTTTTTCTCTTCTGCTACTAATTCCTCAATGTTATTCCCTAAATCTAATCTCCTAGATAATCTATTACCGTACATTCTGTATACCTTTGCAAAGCATCGCAGGATTTTCTAGCTCTCTTAGGAGTTTCCTCCTCAACATTCTGGACAGCTACCTTTTCCTTGCTATGCTTGGAAGAGGTGGATCCGTGGTTACTGGATGCCATTTTTATACAAAATATGTTTTTGACAATGGTATAATCACCAGTGCGTTTTGTATTATGGTACGATTTCTTTGGCTCTCAGCAGTGCCTCCAAATTTGTCCTGCGGTGGTTTATGTAAGAATTTATTCTAAATACATAGGGCGGTGTCCTCTCCCTTAAACAAAATATCGCAATGCCTCCAGCCGTTAAAATACGGCAAATATTTAATGAACCAATAATTTGGACACCTTAATAATTTGATCACCACTTAAATAATATACCTTGAGTCCTTTTAGCCAGTATGATTTCGTACCATAGAAACAAAAATTGCCTTTTGATAAATAAATTTATTTATGTACAAAATTTTTATATATATATATATATATTAATACAAACGCAAAAGACTGGTGATAAATGTATACTTGTACATACAATAAAAATATGACAGGCTAATTCTATATGATCCAACAATAGATGATTATAGATAATAGTAAATAGAGGAAAAATCTAATTTAGGTATAAGTTGTAACCTTATAGTGCTTCAGAAATTATTTAAAATTTCTCGTGGCCATAGAGAAAAAAGAAAGATATCTCTGATAAATTGCACTACAACAAAACTACCGATCAGTGAAATATGCAATATATACACTCAATACCAAACCAAATACTTTTTAGTGATAATTATGTATATAATCTTAATATTCCTAAACACACAATACAAATGCTATAAGTCTTTGGAAAATTGGAAATATCAAATAAAATACAATATCCTAGCAGTCTCACCACTCCTAGAACCTTGATTTTGAGGCCTCCCCAGTGGGATGCAGTTGGACCTTCAAATGGTCCTCAAGACAAAATGGTAGCTGAACTCCTTCAGCAAAATGGCGCAGGTAGCAAGTGAGAGATAGTGCAGTCTTGATTGTAGTGTTTAGAGTAGAGTGTAGATATTATATAAGGAAAGTAGATCAGAAGAAGTAGCTCAGTATAGTCATAGACGTGTCGATAAAAGTCTAGATCAGAAGTATCATAGAAGAAGTTTAGAAGATTGTTTTCAGATTTTTAAGTGTGTCAGATTTTCAGCTTGATTAAGTGTGAGGTGTACGGCCTTTTTATACCATACAATCCTTTGTTTCAAGGGACCCTCCCAACTGGCTTGTTGATTGGCCGGTCGAGAAGTGTGCGTACCTAGAGATATTCCTCACCTGTCCACTGGGGACAGTCAGGCATCCAAGGAAATTTGTGTTTTAATGACTCATACTTTGATAGAAACAAAATGTCTTTAGGTATCAAATATATATGTCTTATCCAAGTATAGTTGATTTCAATACTAATTCTTGGATAAGGATCATAGAAAGATATATGTACATTTGGTTTCTCATTTCCCTGATATTTAAGCTGTTTTGAGATAGCTGATTTCTTTGGAAATGTACAATTGACACCAATTCATAAATCATCCTATTCTTTATCATTTCACACTTAATTGAGTGGTATGCAATACCCAACTTTGTTGAATATATTTTGGTGTGTGGAAACATACCCTTTATAAGATCCCATTGATATAAACCACATTTTTCTTTGTATCTTAGCTGACCCAGATTTTACCTTGGGCTGAATGTAGAGTTCATGGGAATGTGACGGAGAACCTTATCCACTGTTGAGTAATTAAGGTAAATAGACTGGCCTGGAGTTAAAACCTCAGTTCAATAGCATATTGTCACATTTCACGGTTTGTTCATCACACTTTCCAAGGTTTTGTGTGAGCTTTCAGACAATCAGGTTTGGTTCCCCTATTGTCACTTCCAGACCTCGTATATGTTCACCTGCAGAAGTCCAAATAGTGGTGTTTGACTCTATAATTAAGTTCCCTGCAGGTGACGTCTCCTGGCTTCCCATAGACCATGGTACTTGTTTAGATGACACTTTGCAAGGTCTTAGAAAAACCAGAATCAGATCCCACCATTGTCTTTTCTGGTACTCTTGTTTGATCACCTGTAGAAATTCAAATAGTAATATTGTGTCTTGAACAAGTCTCTTCCACTCATTGTGTGTGTGTGGTAACCTCTTGAAATATCCCTTGAAATTCAACCTAAAATGTTAACCCCTGACAGTCAGCTGGGATTCCCAAATTTGGGATAATATTATTTTTCTTAATAAACAGTCCCCCAAAAGTCACTACAATCCACATCTCCAGTATGTTCTTGGTAGGGCTTAAAGTCCATCCTGAAGATTCTTGTGGTTTCCCTTACCACAGGGACAGACACAGAGGTGGCTTCTCTGTTCTTTGTAGCCTCCCACTCTGTGTGTCTCTTTTGTGTCTTTTCAGTGACTGCAAGTTTCCTTTCTGTAGTGGCACCCTCCCCCAGAATGGCCATCTCTAGCACCAGATAACCCATGGGCTCTTACTGGATTTCCCAGGTAGCTCTGGTACATCCTCACCGGGTGGTGCCTGACCCATGTCGGTGCCCAACTCCTGTTGGCCAGCTTCCTCCAGTATTCGGACCAGCTGTTCTTTAGTAAGTCCCCTGTAGCTGAGACCCAACTCTCCAGCCTTTTCTTGTAGGCTGGGACGGTCAGAGACTGCAGACATACTACAGGAGATGGTCAGAGACTGCAGACATACTACAGGAGACGGTCAGAGACTGCAGACATACTACAGGAGACGGTCAGAGACTGCAGACATAGTCAGGAGATGGTCAGAGACTGCAGACATACTACAGGAGACGGTCAGAGACTGCAGAATACTACAGGAGACGGTCAGAGACTGCATACATACTACAGGAGACTGTCAGAGACTGCATACATACTACAGGAGATGGTCAGCAATAACAGACATACTACATGAACATAGCTACAAATTTTCAGAAACATTTCCAGGGACACCTTTTCTGATGAACATCCAGCAAGCCATTAAAGGTAGAGAATGTATTTCCTATTAAATCTATTCTGGAGAATGCCGGTCACATCCGTTCAACATTGTTCTCCATAGACCTCCAAGTGTTTGTGAAATCATTTTATTTCAGTTCAGCAACTTAAAAGGTGAAACTAATATATGAATAGATAGACTCATTACATGCAAAGCAAGACAGTTCAAGCTGTGATTTGTCATCATTGTGTACCTGTATCTGAGATGTATCATATCAGGGTTGTGCTTCTTCCCTACATGAGAGCTGGGATGTCCAGCAACATTCATCTCTACGCAGACATATTTCCCGCACTCAAGGCACCAATACGCCTCCAGGGTTGTGTGGGACCCCTGATGTATACAGGAAGACAGGACTTCAATGATAGAACCATTTCCCTCATCAGGACAGGAAAGTGGCTTCTCCCTCGTGTGAGATCTCTGATGTGTGTAAAGACTGGACTTCTGTTGAAAAACATTTCCCACAACTTAGGACAGGAATACGGCATCTACCCTGTGTGAGATCTTTGATGTGTGTTAAAGATTGGACTTTCACTGAAAAACATTTACCACACTCAAGACAGGAATATGGCTTCTTCCCCTGTGTGAGATCTCTGATGTGTGTAAAGACTGGACTTCACTGAAAAACAATTCCCGCACTCAGGACAAGAATGTGGCTTTTTCTTCAGTGTGAGATCTGTCTGATGTGTGTAAAGACTGGACTTTATCTAAAAACAATTCCCACACTCAGGACAGGAATACGGCTTCTCACCCCGTATGAGATCTCTGATGTTTATGAAGATTGGACTTCTCTAAAAAGCTACTTTCCACACTCAGAACAGGAATACCGCTTTCTCCCCGTTAATATCTCTGATGTGTGTAAAGATTGGACTTCACTGAAAAACATTTCCCGCACTCAAGACAGGAATATGGCTTTTTCCCCAGTGTGAGATCTCTGATGTGTGTAAAGACTGGATTCACTGAAAAACATTTACCCACACTCAGGACAAGAATATGGCTTTTCTTCGGTGTGAGATCTCTGATGTCGGGAAAAGGGACTGGGACTTAAAGAAAAAATTTTTAAACACTCAGAACGGGCTTACGGCTTCTCCCCTGTGGGGGGATCTCTAAAGTTTTTAAAGTTTTGCCCTTCTCGGGAAAAGCTTTTTTCCCCCGAAAAAACCCCCCGGGGAAACTAGGGGGAAATTCCGGCTTTCCTCCTCCCCCGTGTGACATCTCTGATTTTGTGAAAGGGGACGGGACTTTTTTGTGAAAAAATTTCCCACACTCAGGACGGAAAATGTGGCTTCCCCCCTGGGGAGATGCTCTTTTTGGTTTTGTAAAGATGGGATTTTCTGTGAAAAACATTTCCCACACTCGGGGACAGGAATGTGGTTTTTCCCCCATGTGAGTTTGTTGTTTATGAAGTTTGGGGACTTCTTGAAAACATTTCCCACACTCGGGAAACAGGGAAGCTCTTCCTGTTGGGAAAGGGGCCAGTCCCGACATTTTGGGGGCCCTCGGGTTTCGGGAAATTTCCGATGGTCCATCTAAATGGGGGGTGCCGGATGGACATTGGAGGGACCGGGTTTTCTCCGGGACTTTTTACTGTGTGTTCCTATTTTTCTACTTTCCAGTCGGGAGAAAAAGTGAGAATCCTCGGGGGGTTTTCCTCATCCCCCGGCCATGGACAAAAAATACAAAGAAAAAAAAAAAAGGGGTTTACTAGCAGGAGCTGTTTGGGTTTCCCCAACCCAGGACTCCCCCAAAATCAGGCACCCTTGGGGCTCTGAGGAGCTTAAATTTCCCACCCTCAAGGGAACTAGGAAATGGCTCCTTGATCTTTTTAAACCGGGTCATTTTTTTTATTCATGGCCTTAGTCGGGAGAGTGGGGAAACCCCCAAACTGTTTTTTTAAAGGGAGGGCCAGTGATGAGGGGTTTTATGGGACGGGGGCCCCCAACCCCCCTCAAATCATCATCCCCAATCTTCCCAACACAAGAAGTACTGCATTTCCCTTATTTACTCCTTTTTTTTAGCCCTAAAGAACGGGGGGGGTGGGGCCCCACTGAGGTCAGAGAGTGGGGGAGGGGGGGAGAAAACCCAAAGATAAAGATGGACTGACCCTGAAAGACCCCCATCATTGGGGTATTGATTTCCTCCCTCATTATCACTTTCTGTTTAAGGGCCCAAAGTTGGAGGATGTTATAACTTATTATCCCCATTTTTAAAAAGTCTGTGCCCCAAAACACTTTCACCCGTTAAAAAAGGCCCAGCGGGGAAAGGAAATTTGGGGGGGAAACAAGGATTCATATTATGTGTTTTATTGCAGTGGGGGGAGGGGGGGCAGAACCCGGGATTTTGGAAAATGTAAAAAATGGGTATTTTGGGGCAGGGGTCAGGATTTGGGTAATGTAAAAAATTGAGTTTTTAAAAGTGCAGGGGTAGGAGTATGAAATTGTCCCAACATACATGGGGTATTTAAAAAATTTTGCACACCCCGGTTTAAAAGTCAGGTTTCTGAATGTTTAAAAAAAGAGACAAAGATAAATTAAATTTTAGAAAATTTTTCCCTTTTCCATCGGGAATTTTTGGGCCGATTTTCTTGTAAAAAAGCTCCAAAAACTGTCAGATTGCGTGTCATCTCTGCGCACAGCCCTTTAGATCACCCCACCATTGTCCATCGGGTTCAGGTCTGGGGGTCTGGTTTGGGCCCTTCCAAATCTTCCATCTTCTTTGGTTTAAGCCCCTTTCCTTTTTGGGTTTGGATGGATGCTTTGGGGGGGTCGTCTTGCTGAAAGGTGGGAAACTCCTCTTTGTTCGTTTCTAGCGAAGCCCGGGAAGGTTTTGTGGGATATTGTGGGGATTTGGACTGTTCTTTAATTTTCCCCTTTCCTTGACTAAGGCCCCGGGCCAGTGAAGAAAAAAAATCCCCCTAGCATGGGTGCTGCCAACCCCCCATGCTTCACAGTGGGTATGGTTTTTTTTTGGTGATGTGCATGTTGTTTTTTTTGCCAAAAATTTTTTTTTTAATTTAGGCCCAAAAAGTCCCAAACCCTTTGGGTTTTTCGACCCAAACATCTCCCCACATGCTTTGGGGACTTTTAGATTTTTTTTGTAGAATGTTGCCGGGGTTGGAAAGGGTTTTTTTCCCAAGAAAAGGCTTTTCCCTTCCCTTCCCCTTACCCCATAGCCCCGACATATGAAAAAACACGGGGGATTGTTGTCACATGGATCACACAAAACGGAATTGTTGATTTTCCTTTCAGTCCCCTTTTATGTTGCTGTTTGGCCCCTTAGCCCCCTTTTCCCAGACCCCCGTTTTTTTCTCATCTTTTAATTTCCCTTTTTTGGGGGGACGGTCCAGTTCTTGGTTGGGAGGGGTCCACTGTTGGGGGATGTCACTGTTGGGATGTCACTGCTTTCACCATATTTTTCCCTTGATGATGGGCTGTCTTTACTGTGTTCCATGGGGCTGTTATGTTCCCAAAAAAAATGCAGTGTTTTTTGAAAAAAAGTGGGAATTAAAAATGAAAATCCTTTTTAATCCCTTTTTTTTTCCCTCCAACAAAAGCATTGGGAACCCCGGGGGCCCCTTTCTAAATTCCCAAATTTAAACAAAGAAGGGAAAAATACATTTAAAATTTTTGTTGTTCCCCTAAAAAAATGGAAGAAAAGTGAATATTAGGGCGGGGTTTAAAAAAATTTTGGGAGGTTGGGGTTTTTTATTTTCTTTACAAACCAAACTTTTATTATAAATGAGAAAAAGTTTGAAGGTTTTGCTTTTTCCCTTTTAAAGATTCATGAAATTTTTTGGTTTTAGTCGCCTGTTTCTGAGAACTTTCTGTACATCTGTGTTGCCTGGGGTCCCCCAAATTCTGGCCCCTTTTGTTTGGTATTTTCCCGCCGGATGATTGGGCCCCATTCCACGTTCTTTTTCTATTTTTGGTTTTTCCTCGAAACGGCATTTTTGATTTTCACCCCCAAGTTTTTATTGGATGAAGATCCGGGGTTTTGGGGTGGCCCCTCCCTAACGTCCAAACTTGTTGGTCTGGAAACCCCGTTTTTTGCCGTTTACTGGTGTGTTTGGGTCGTTGTCTTGGTTTGGGAAAACCCATTTCAAGGGCATTTCTCTTCAGGCATAACGGCAGGCATGACCTCTTCAAGTATTCTGATGGATTCAAACTGATCCTGATCCCTGGTAATGCGATAAATAGGCCCAAACACGTAGTATGAGAAACATCCCATATCATGATGGTTGCCCCACCATGCTTCACGGTTTCTTCCAGTGTACTGTGGCTTGAATTCAGTTGTCTTGGGGGTCGTCTGACAAACTGTCTTCCGCCCCACTAGACCCAAAAAGAACCAATCTTACTTTCATCAGTCCACAAAAATGGGTTTGCACCATTTTCTCTTTAGGCCGGATTCAAATGTGCTCTTTGGCAGATTGTAAACCTATTCAGCAAACGTCACGTCTTTTTCCCAACAGTGGGACCATTGCTGCGGGGACTTCTTGCAGTAATAGCTTGGCTTTCACATAGGGGTCTTCTAATTGTAACTAGTCCTCACAGGGAACGTCACACCTTCTTTCATCTTCCATGGAGCTGATGTGTTGGCTGAGTCCTCACAGGGAACGTCACACCTTCTTTCATCTTACTGGAGCTGATTGTTTGGCTGAGTCCGCCCCATGTTGCTATTCTTCTACTCCATTCCAATGGTAGTTTTTCGCTTTCTTCCACACGTCTTTCAGGTTTGTTTTTTGTTGCCATTTTGATAAAGCATTTTATGCCATCATTTTAGCTGAGCAGCCGATCAGTTTTTCTGCACTTCTTTATATGTTTTCCCCTCTCCAATCAACTTTTTAATCAAGGTACGCTGTTCTTTCTGAACAATGTCTGGAACGACCCATTTTCCTCAGAATTTCAGAGAGAAATGCACTGTAACCAGCATGTCCAACATTTGCTGCCTTCCTTCCTTAAATAAGGGCAATAATTGCCACCTGTTTATCAAAGAATGAATGACCTCACTAATAGAACTCCACAACGGCTATTATTTTGAAACACGCCCCTTTCAATTCAATGACACAGAATCAGCAGCATGCATGTCATGACTGTTGGGTCTGTTGGATGTGATGTCTGACTGCTAGTATTTTGAACATAACTGTATATCTAATGCCTTGGAAGTTCTTTTGTACCCTTCTCCTGACTGATACCTTTTAACAATGAGATCCCTCTGTCAAGGTCCTACCTTTTCCCAGAGACTGTCCATCTTGGGTTTCTGCAGAGCATGGTGGGAGTCTGTTATGCCTTCAGGTCTCTGAGGTCCATCCCCCAGAGGGGTGTGGCTGAGCACATATAAGCCTGTGATCCGCACATGCTCTTTGCACTTGTGTCTTTGTGTCGCTACAGCTCTGTTCATACTCTCGTGACTCTCCTGGAATCTGACTCGGCTTGTGACTAGACCATTCTCTGTGTTTTCCTTTGATCTGACCTTCCGTTGCTGAACCCGGCCCATGACCTGTGATTTTCATCTACTGTTCTGTACCGTTTTGTCCTGTTGTTGTCGACCCGGCCTGACTGACTACGCTATTGTCATTCCTACCAGCTACACGCCATTGGCGGTGGCCATTACCGCAGCCGGGGTATCTCGGGGGCTGCGACCTGGTTCCTGGCTGTGTCAAGTCCATCCCCACCATCAGGGGCCCCGGTGAAGGGCAGCCTGGGACTTAGACTCCACTCCCTGAGGGACTTCGGTCTGTTGGTGGTGGTTGTCATCAGTCAGTGCGTTACCCTGCCACTAGGCCTACCTATCCATTCCAAATCCCTGCCCTGACACCCTCTGATGCTTTGGAAGCTCTCTGCAGACCATGGCTTTTGCTGTAGGATGCGACTAAGAAAATGTCAGAAAAGACCGACTAGAACAGCTGAACTTTATTTAGGGTTAATCAGAGGCACTTTAAATGATGGCGGGTGTGTACTGACTCCTATTTAACATGATTGTGAATGT